GATTATTTAAGTTTTCTTTTAATAAGCAAGTCAGTTTATCATTTTCTGCCATTCTGGTTCCTCCAATTATTAATCTTGAGGACTCTCTTAAACATGGCCTCTAGGTGGGTTGGATTACCACACCTGAGATTCCCAGCCAGGCTTTGGAGTTTTAAGTCCAATTCAGCACCAGTTGGGGAAAGGGGTGGTCAGGACACAGAGCTATAAGCCAGATAATGCTGCATAGCACTCCAGCATGAATCAACGAGTTCAGACCTTCACAGAAGACTCTACTCACTCTCACTATGGATCTGCAACCTAGGCTTCCTTTTCCAATTGTTGTTAGGATGACTGTGAAAATGTATATAAAGTTCTCTGTTTTCCACACCACCATCATTCCTAAATATTACCAGTTTAGCTGCTACATTACCTTTAGTACATATTTCTTCCCTTCATAGATGAGTTCCACATCTACTGTGTTTAATAAAGTATGAGCAGGCAAGACTTGGCCTCTGGAAGACAAAGGAGGAATAATGGCACTCAACTTCCTGGAAATAGTTTTGCAAGAAAACGTATGCTTCTAAAAGGATAAGACTAAAAGGGTCTATGTGACCTTAATTAATTAAAGCACACAAAAGGGGAACTGGGGTCTTCTCTTCCAGGTCCTCCTCACCAAAGGAGGGGAGGTGGGTCTCTATAAGGGGAGAGCTTTTTCTGTGATGGCTCCCCTTTTATGGGATTCCCTTCCCAGAGAGGCTTGACTAGCACCCACATTAGCCAGGTAGAGACCTTCCTATTTCCCCAAGCTTTTAAATTGTATTTTAATTCAAATTGTTTCGGTTTTTGAGTGACCACCTTACAGCTGCCCAGTCTACATCATGTTTTTATTTTGAATTTCATTTGATTTTTACTGTATATGTTTTTATTCAAACTGCGGTATTTTATGTGTGTTTGACTGTAAATCACCCAGATTTACTTCAGCTATTGTCTGCTTAAAATGTGTAATAAAATAAATAACTATAAATAAATAAAAGTTTTCTCCATTATAATTTAGTGTGAAGCAGTCTGCTGGCAAAACACTACAGCTGATCTCAAAAAGCTAAGCAAGGCCAGGCCTGGTTAGTATTTGGATGGGTGACAATTCTGTACTATTGCCAAAAAACCAACACTGACCTCTATCTGTGAAGTTACCAGGGATCGAGCTCAATCCAAGTTCATGTTTTTAGGTGACCTGGTATTCACAAGCTTTAGTGTGTTTGCCATGCAGAGTAGCATCTAAAACTGATTTTAAAAATTGGGAAGTTCACATGTCCACATAAGCCCCATAGCTATTTTCAGAAAACAGTTGATGAGAGCCAATCAGGTGTAGTGGTGAAGGCATGGGACTGGGGAGATTAAGTTTCCAGTCCGGCCTTAGCAATGGAAGTTCACTTTGGTCTAACCTACATCACAGTTCTGTGGTGGGGATAAAATCAGTGAAGAACCCCAGCCCTTACCTCAGATAAGCTCCCTTGGGCTCCTGGAGAGAAGGGGGAGGGGGA